GGGTCCAAGGAGAACTGTTCCATCAAATCTCTTAGGGAATTGTGTTCGGTGTTCCTGTTAGATCAATGGCGCAGCCTCGTCTGGAATACTAGGTGCAGTTCTGGTCACCGCGTCTCAAAAAGGACATTGCAGAACTGGAAAAAGTAGAGAAGAGGGCAACCAAGATGATGAGCAGGTTGGAGAACCTTCAGGGTAGCCCCTGGCAACCAGCCAGGAGTGGGGAGACTTAACAGGAGCAAGGACAGCCCAAGGCTGACATCACTTCCAGCGTGCACCAGAAGTGCCATCACATTGATGGTGACACGGGGATACTCTGGCATTTGGTCAAAAAACTCTACGGTAGAAGTCCTTTTTATGCCTGTTTACCCAAATACCTGAGAGTCCTTGCATTATCGGCAACGTGATCACGTCCCTTCCAGTGCGCACCGGAAGTGACTTTACTGTGTAGCTGGCGACAAAGGTCTAGGCCTCCTTTTGCCGCCAGTAAGTCCCCTACTAGCCAGCTGATTGGCACTGGGGGTAGGGGCCCCGGAGTGGGGGTTCTCCACCCCCCAGTGAGGGTCTGGCAACCCTGAGAAAAGGCTCAAGAATCTGGGACTTTTCAGTTTAGAAAAGAGACGACTAAGGGGGGGGGACATGATAGAGGTTTGTAAAATTGCGCATGGGGTGGAGAGAGTCAACAAAGGGAACTTTCTCTCCCTCTCCCAAAATACTAAAACTTGAGGGAATCCACTGAAGCTGATGGGCAGTAGATTCAGGACGGACAAAGGGAAATACTTCTTTGCACAGAGAGTGATTAAAATGTGGCATTTGCTGCCAGAAGATGCAGTGATGGCCACAGGAGTAAACAGCTTTCAAAGGGGATTAGACAAGTTCACGGAGGATAGGTCTGTCAGTGACTACTAGCCACTGAGGTGGTTAAAGGGAACCTCCTGTGTTCAGAAACACTAACCTTCCGAACCCCAGAGCCAGGGGTCAACATCAGGGGAAGGTCTGGGCCTCTATGCCCTGACCTCCGAGGGAACTGGTTGGCCACTGTGTGACAACAGGATGCTGGACTAGATGGACCCCTGGTCTGATGCAGCAGGGCACTTCTTATGTCCTTGGGAAACCCAAATATTTGGTATACACCATCAAACTCCCCACACACACAGAGAGAGCCATTGGTTAAGATGCTGTGATGTCATGGAATGCTAATAAAGGTGCTAACTGAAATGCTTCACGGGAACGTTTCAGGTGCTAAATCAGTGCCGTTTCTGGGAGCAATTTTTCCCAGAAGGAAAACCTTGCAGGCTTCTTGTCAGAGAGGCAAACGGGTCAGGGGAGCCACTGAATGTTGCATATTGACTTGAACTGGTTTGTTAGTTGTGTAGCTGTGGTAGCAATAGACTGTCCTTATTCGCAAGTTACAGCAAATGCACATACAATCCATGTACAGTGTGGACATGGGTTTTTCCCCCTTTATTGTAGTGTTGAGTCATTCACATGTTACACTCAACACATGTACAAACTGAATGTGTGATTTAAACCCCACACTGGCACTGATTTCGTTTGTAAATTCACATTGGCTGTTTCTTACAAACAGATGTATGCACATATATGCAGGATGAGCAGGGTTGCTGTCCACAGCCCTTGGGAGATTTCTGGAGCAGGGCCTAGGGAGGGTCGCATCTAACCTGGAAGTGATGTCACTTCTGGGTGACTCTCTAGGAATTCCCCCAAATCTATGGCAAAAGCCATAGAGATGGGGGGAGGATTCCTAGAACATAAGCTGAAAGTTATATCACTTTGGGTTCCCTTCCCACACCCCCTTCTGCCACAAACATCAGCAGCACCAGGGAATCCCCTGCTGGAAGCAGGCAAATGGTAACCCGAAGGATGAGTGTGCGCTCGCTCTGACATCTGAACAGGGCTGTTATCTTTTCATAAGATAGTGCTGAGAAAAAAGTGGTATGGTGCTTTTCAGGTGTCCTCTGTCACACAACCAGTCTGAATCACTCCACCGAAGGTCCAAAAAATATGCACGTTTGTGCCATGTGAACTACACGCTGTCCCCCATGGCTATGTACCAATGATAGCCTACAATGTACCACAACACACACCCCTTCACAGCTCTCCCCTCCCAGTCCATCTGTAAGACAGCAGTGCCAACGAACACTCGTGCCGATGAAGACTCTTCTGTGCCACAGTTACGGTTTCCGCGGCTAAACCCTGCCTGCCTCCAGATTGCAACCTTGGCCGTTTCCCAGCAAAGCCCCCTGAGCCTGGCTTAATAGCGCCCACGAGGGGAGCCCGCACCGCCCTCTGCCTGAGGTGAGCCTCTGCGTTTGGCAGCGTTAATCTCTTGGCCTCCAGACAGGCGAGAGTTTCGCCGGAGTGGGGTTTGAGACGTCTGCTTGCCGAACAGATCCTCTCAGAGCAAGAGCCGCTTGGGAATGTAACAGTTTTGGAGGGCGGCCATGTTGGTCTCCGTAGAACGGCTAGATTTGAGTCCAGCCGCACCTCAGAGACCAACAAAATTTTCACGGTTTGAGCTCTCGAGAGCCCCTTTCGAGCTTTGATTCTTGAAAGCTCATACCCCGAGAAATGTATTGGTCTCTAAGGTGCTACTGGACTCAAATCTCGGGACGTCCTAATCTCCATCAAACGACAGGGGGTTATGTCTGTGGGGTCAGATCCTCGCCTTCTCAATCCACGCCGCACTCCTGAAGTGATTGTGAAACTGTATCCTCCTGATCACAGTGGCCTTACCCGCTGGACATCTCTATCTCCTCCAGCTAAACCGAGCTTAACTAGTAGCCGGTTGTTGCTTTCTTGTTCAACTTCGGTGGTTTGCATCCCTCCCCCTCCCCTTTTTATTGCAATGCACTCTGGTGCCAGCTCCAGCCATTCAAGCTACCGCTGCCAGCTGGCTGAGCGGAGCCCTGAATTAAATTACGTCTGGAAGTCTGGTATGCGGATGCCACTGGGAATGGCTTGGAATCGGGGAAGGTTAAGAAAAGCCTGAGTGGGGTTTTTTTTTTTTTTTTGGTTTTGTTTTGTTTTGCTTCCCCTCCCCCTTTCCGAGGGAAGGGCGAGACTTTGGTATTAATCAGCTGTGTGTCATTCAGTGGTTTTGCTGGGCACACAAGGAAGGGTTTGTGACTGGAGGGGGACGGCTGCTGGTTGGGACGGCGTGGGGGCTGCGGGGCTCATAGGGCATGGTGTAGAAGACTTCTTTGGGGTTGACAGACATTTCCCTGAGAGAGGAAGTCTGGATGTTGACACAAGCTGGATGTTGACACGACGTATATTGGTGTAGTTCGGTTTAGTGGTTAAGAGCGCAGACTGTAATCTGGGAGAACCGGGTATGATTCCCCACTCCTCCACATGCGGCTGCTGGTGTGACCTTGGGTCAGTCACAAGTTCTTTCAGAGCTGTTCTCTCAAGGACAGTTCTTGAAAGAGCTCTCTCAGCACTACCTACCTCACAGGGTGTCTGTTGTGGGGAGGGGGAGGGAAAGGGATTATAAACCACTCTGAGACTCCTTCAGGTAGTGAAGGACAGGGTACATATCCAATCTCCTACTACTACTACTCTTCTTCCTCCTCCTCCTAAAAGCTGGTTTGGGGGAATGCTTGAAATGCTTCCTCCTTCTGTTGAGGGCTCAGGTCTAGGACAGGAGGCACCCCACGGGGCAAGGCCCGTTGAGCAAGTCTGTTCAGTACTTGGTTGGGGAATCAAAGTAAAAGCCAAGAGCACATTAGGGGACACCAAGCAGAAGATCGAAGCTGTTCTAGTGTAACAGTATCGCTTTGCCTGCGATGGCAACTGGATAACCTATTTTGCTGAACTAATGTGCAATGAGATATTTGAATGTGCAAATCCAGTCTGGCTGAACAGCTCCCATCAGTCCAGTGAACCTTGGTCAGCTGAAGGGCCAACATGTGCTACCTGTAACAGAGGAAGCCTAGATCGGGGGTCCCCAAACTTTTTGAGCCTGCATGGACCTTTGGAATTCTGACACGGCGTGGTGGGTGCAGCCACAAAATGGCTGCCGCGGGAAACTCAGCCAGCCACAAAATGGCTGCCATCACTTACCTTCAGCCCCATAGTGACAGTCCTTGTACCGTGGTGGCAGGTTGCTGTCAAACTGGCCTGGAGAAAAAATCGCTTCCTGACCCCAAAGTGGCGACTGGCATTTCCCTGAGTGTGTAAGAAAGGGCCACAAGAACTAAACACTAATGCACCCCCTTCCTGCTCTCCTTTCTCATGATCTGCCTAAGTTCACATAATCAGCATTGCTGTCAGATGGCCATCTAGCCTCCGTTTGGAAACCTCCAAAGAAGGAGACCCTTACCTGGGAACTGCGTGGGGGTGTCCAGTTGATATCGCTCAGGTGCTGCTTAGCCTGACATATTTACGTTCCTGGCATATGACAGCGCTGTAGGGACGTATATTGGTGTTACTGTATATTATTATCATCACTGTTGTTGCTTAGCATAAGTTATCTTGGAACCCCATCTTGAATCTATAGTTAAATATCCTTGGAGCACCGTGGAAGGAATTTTTAGTGAATTGTATTTGTTGTGTTTTATACTGTTTTGTGTTGTTTTATTGTTTTAACTTCGGCATTTATGCCCCTTGTGAGCCGCCCTGAGCCTTCGGGGAGGGCGGGATATAAATTTAAAAATAAATAAATAAATAATTTAGTTTCAACAGGTTATTTAGTTTTAGGACTTTGACAGGTTATTATTAGTAACTGAGGAGCTTGTCAGAGTAGAGTTGTCCACCTGGCTAGTTTACAAGCCTTGCTGGCTGTTTGTCTTGTATCTACATTCCGTAGCCTGGGTACCTGGACGGCTCTGTGGGTTTGGACAGCTGCACCTCCCATTCAAAGCGCTGCGTTGACGTACCTCCCTTTGCTTTGCCTAGAAGCTTTGCCGTAGAATTCTGTTGAGTGCCTTTTCTTACCTGGATCATTCAAAATTGGGTGACGTCCTCTTCTCTTGCTCTTGCAGCCGAGTTGGAGTTTGTACAGATAATCATAATCGTGGTGGTGATGATGGTGATGGTGGTGGTCACTGAACCACTACAAGCTCTCTGCGCGGTCCTTCATCAATCGGCACAGCCAAGGGCGGAGGAGAGAGGAGAACCTATCATCAGTAAGTAGTCCAGTCTCTTTTTGGGGTGGCACTGCCCCCAAACCCTCTTCAAATCATTCACTGTTTACAGGCTGCTTACTGACTGCTTCTACAACATTAGAAGTGGCAAAAAATTCTGATCTTTGATTAGGGCTGCCAGGTCCCCCGGTGGGGAGGGGGTTTGCCTGCTCAAAGGGCTGCTGACCCGCCAGCCCGGATCCAGCCGGCAGGAGGAACCCTGCCCCCAAGTGTCCAGATCGAGCCGACATGCCTGGTGCGATGACGTCACCCGGAGGTGATGTCATTGCACTGGGCATGTTGCCGGGGGGGACACTCTAAGCATTCGTCCTGAAAACTCTATGATATCATAGAGTTTTCAGGACGAATGCTAGAGCGTCCCCGGTGACGCGCCTAGCGTGATGATGTCACTTCTGGGTGACGCTATTGCAGTGCGCATGAAAAGTCCTGGAGCCGGAGCTCTCCCCCAGCTAAAAGCAGGTAAGGGACCTGGCAACACTATTTTTGATAGCCTTCCCACCTCTGTTTGGTGTAGGGCTAGGGTTCCCAACCTGCAGGTGGTGGCTGGAGATTTCCTGGGATCCTAGAGTGTCACCCTGACGTGGTGACATCACTTCCAGCTTTGTACCGAAACTGGTACTGTGATGTCAGTGCACCACCAGTTCCCACCCACCCACCCCA